GATATAATTTATTTTTATACCATAAAGTTCACCCATTTATTTAAAGTGTACAATTTAATGGTCTTTAATATATTTACAGAGTTGTGCAACCATCACCATATCCTAATGTCAGGACATTTCACCGGCCCAAAAAGAAACCTTGTACCATTAGCAGTAAGGAGTCACTCCTCATGTGCCCCCAACCCAAGGCCCACCCCACCCCTTACTTTTGTCCCCAGCTCCTGGCAACCTCTCATCTCCATTCTGTCTCTATTGAGTTGCTTATTGTGGATATTTCACATAAATGGAATCATACAACATGTGGTCTTTTGTGACTGGCCTCTTTCACTCAGCATATTGTCTTCTAGGTTCATCCATGTTGGAGCATGTGTCATACTTATTCCTTTTTATCACCAAATAATATTCCATTGTATAGATATACCACATTTTGTTTATCTATTCATCAGTTAAGGGATATTTGGGTTGTTGCCCCTGTTTGGCTATTGTGAATTGTGCTGCTGTGAACATTCATGTACAAGGTTTCAAGTGGATGTAGGTTTTCATTTCTCTTGTGTAGGTGCCTACGAGTGGAATTGCTGAGTCACGTGGTGATTCTGTGGTTAACTTTTTGAGTACCTGCCAACTTGTTTTCCAAAGTGACTGCACCATAAAAGATCTTTTAAATGATTACTGGATGTGATAACGTTATAACTTCTAACACAGTGGTCATCTTTGCCAGGGCCAGCAGTTCCCTGCCTTACTCACGGACCCCTCCCTCTCGGGCCCAGCAGGAGCAGGCTCTCCACAGGTCATCCTGGTGAGCCACACCCCACAGCCCTCCTCTGCTGCTTGTGAGGAAATCACCTACCAGGTGCAGTATGCACTTCTACTCACAGTTGTTTCTAGTTTTCTAAAAAGCATAGATTCAGAAGGGACGGGATGGAGGGTTGTGGGGAGTGCTGTGTGGCTCGGGTGGTTGGGGCCAGCTTCTGAGGGGATGTGTCTCCAGCCGAGTCCTGAGTGAAGAGTGTGCTGAGCTGGGGAGGCTCCAGGGGACAGCGTGTGTTGAACGACTGATACTAGACCTCATTCATTCCGGGATTTGGTGTTTAGTGGGGTGGGGTTTTAGCACCACAAAATGAGATGTAGCAAGTAATAATTTGTAAATCTAGTTTTAAATTTATTAATATCTTCCTGTATTTGCCTACTGATCAGACTTCACATGGCCGTTTACTTGCATTTAGTTCTTTTTGTAGGTTTTCTTGTATTACCTTTGCTGATTCTTTTAAGTCTTATTGTACCTTTTTTGGACACATACCTGTGTGTGTGCATGACCTATTTGTCATTTGACTAGTCTCTTTTCTTAAAATGCATGTTTTGGGGGGCCAAAACATTTAGCAAATGATAGTTCTAAATACAGAAGAGTCTAAAAACTCTTTCTTTAAAACTTTTCAGAGTTAGAAGTACAGTTAATACATAATCTTTGAATTTAAGAAGCATTAAATTTTGTGCTTAAGCAGTTTTAGCAAATGAGTTTCAAGATAATTATTCATTGGTCTTTCAGTGGGACAAGGACTATTTTCATAAAGAAATGGGACATACCCAGCACTGGGGATTTCCCCCAATGTGGCCTGAGTAACTAGAGCTTATCTAGCTGAGTTTCAGTTTGTGTAACTTGAGCACATTTGTCTTGGGGGTCCCCAAGACCACGCTCAAGGTCAGTGATGCACGAGAAGGACTCACAGGACTCAGAAATCTGTTCTACTCGTGGTTACAGTGAAGGGACGCAGACACTGAACACTCGCTTCTCATGAATGAAATATTTGATTCAGAAACAGTTCTCATATTTTAGTTACTCTAGCTACTGATAAATATTTGTAAGAGTCAATGGATAATAATAGACAGCACCACTAACTCCAGGGTTTTGTTTTAGTTAGTGTACTTCGCTGTGTATCATTTATTTTAATCATGTGGTTTTTTATCTGCAGTACAGAACAGCCTTGAATATCATTTATCCCAGTGGTTTTCAAACTTCTTTTCACTCACAAGAAATATATTTTATGCAATGACCTGAAAACACAATTTCAAAAACATGTGTGTTTTTGTTGTTTCTTTTCTTTACACACACAGACACTCATGTGTGGACACATGCACACCTGACATAGGTGTCACAAAATAATACCTACCCTTATGGCGTGTGACATATTTGCATTTCGTTTGCTCTTCTGATCTTTTCTATTTTATTCTTTTTTTATTCCACTTTTTAAATTTAAAGTACAGATTAATAATATTAGAGCACCTTGTAGAAATATTTTGTTGTTGTTAAGTATTTTTCTTTAAACTTCATCCATTTCTGTATATTCTAGTATTATGAAAAAGTATTTGATAAACTAGAAATAATAAAAATGTTGACAAATACCATCAATTTTCTTTATAATTGTTTATAATTTTCTTTCACTGAGTCATCACATACAAATTTTCATCTGCAAAACTGAACTCTGTTGTTTCTAAGAGCTGAGTGATAAACTCCTCCTGCTTTATTTCTTTCTTTTTAGGATGTTGGTGGCATCCCATTAAAATGATTTGAAAACCTACTAATTGGTTGTGATCCAAAGTTTGGAAAAACGCTTTAATCCCATCAAAAGCTAAAAACACCTTTTGCTACTAAACTAAGTATTTATAATGCAGTTTGCTGAGGAAGATCTTCAACCAAAGCAGTAGCATTTTTTTAGCAATATCTTTACTACTTGGCTAAGCTAAAACCACTACCACTAGTAGCATTTACTGAATGCTTGTTATGTGCCAGGTTCTGTTCTCAGCACCTTCCTTATATTATTACCTCATTTTACTGTCACCGACCCCTGATAGGGAGGTACTGTTCTTAGTTATCATTTCTCAGGGCCAAGACAGGAATGTTGGAGCTGGATTTGCAGCCAGGTGGTTGCACACATGTAACACTGTTCTCTTCTCTAACCCCTGCGCAGTCAGCGCACTTCAAGCATTCCAAAGTGGGGGATGGCAGGGGGGTGCGGCGCTGGTCTAATGCAATGCTGAGGGTCCCCAGTGGGCTGGGTATCCCTGTATTAGTGTGTATCTTGTATTATTTTGCCGTCTGTCAGTTTGAAAACTGCACCAATCCAGTAACGTCGCGGGATTTCTGACCCGCTCCAGGTAACTGACGTCTCTGCCAACCTGGCCCGGGGCGGCCAGCCCGAGAAGGAGGGCCGGCTGCACCAGTGCTTGGAGTGTGGCCGCACCTGCGCATCGGCCGCGATGCTGCTGCATCACAGCAAGGAGGTGCATGGCAGGGAGCGCATCCACGTCTGCCCCGTGTGCAGGAAGGCCTTTAAGCGCGCCACTCACCTCAAGGTACGCTCTGCGGTGCGGCTCTCATCCCGCCGGTGCTGCTGCTACTCACTTAAGATTAGAGGTGCTCAGCAGATTGTACGAGTCAGTGAATGTCGTGGATCTTGCTAGTGAAAAGACCTGAGTAACAAATTTTCCCACTTTTTTGAGGAAAAGGTCAATGGAGGTAAATGTATTTACCAGGTTGTTTTAGGTTTAATAGATCTGTTGGCTGTACAGTTTTAACAGATTGCATATTCACGTGTAATTCAAGATCAGTGTCTAATGCAAATGAAAATAACATTGCAATACCATTTCTTACCTTATCAGAGTGGCAAATATTTAAAAAATCTCTCAGCACCTATTGGCGGGGCCGTGGGGAAACAAGAACTCCCGTAATTGCTGGTGAGACTGAAAGTTGGTATGACTTCCTGTAGGGGAATGAGGCGGTACCCAACCAAACTGTATCTGCACCCACCTTGGGAATCAGCACAAAATATATATGCCCAAGATTATCCATTGTAGCATCGTCTGTAACTGCAAATAATTGGAAGCCACCTGAGTGCCCACACGTGGGAGAGTGGTTGGGTAAGCTATGGAATGTCCACACAGTAGAGAAAAGTGTGAGGAAGAGCTCTCTAAAGTGATTTCCAGGACCGTCCGTCAGGTGAGGTGCCCAGGTGGGGATGTGTGACTGGGTCCTGTGGCTTTTAGGCCAGTGCTCCTCCACCACCACTTCTTAGTTACCAAAAGCATCATAGTGCGGTAACTAATTAATACATAATGGATCCCAGACTTCCTTTTGCAAGGCCTTTAAATGAGTCATTCAGTTAGTAAACCTAGATTTCTGTTCTCCAGACGTACAAGTAGCTAGTGCTTCTCACCTCTTTTTCTACTGTGTTTTCTGAGTTGAGGAACCCCAATATTAATATATTTTGAAAAGAAGACTCTATGTTCAGTTTTAAAACACCGAGTATAAATGAACTCTTCAAAGGGCTGCAACAGTGGGATTGGTGTGTGCTACTTACGACCGAGGAATTCCTACCCTATCTGACCTCTGTTTGAATTTGACTCCACCACTTAGAATGTCTGTGATATTGGTCAGGTCACGTACCATCCACAGCTTCGGTTTCCTCATTTGTAAAATAAGGATATTAATAATTACATTTTATGGTTATTTTGAGGACTGTATAAGTGCTTAGCACAATGCTTAGCTCATAGTAGCGAGTACAGAAATTATAGCCACAGTAATATTGTCTAAAAGAATAAATCCTTTTAAAGAGGCAACAGAATAAAAATGGTTAAAAAAAACTTCTTAAGATGTTTTAAATAATATATATTGCTATATATAAGGCATAACTTTTCCATAAACATTCTGAAACGATGTTATACAATTTGAAAGACTAAATGTGGCTTTTTTAATACGTATAAGTTACTTTCTCTGGATGATCTTCAAAAATTGGAGATTTTAAAAAACCTACATTGTGTCAGAAAATAAGGAAGTGCCCATCACGCGCACACACGCACACACACACGTGCACAATAATGGGAACATGTCAAAGGGACACGGGAGCCAACGGAAAGAGCTCCTGGTGGCCAGAGCTGAAACAATTGGAGCAAGAACAAAAGTAAAGTAATATTGGATTATAACCCACAGTACAAAATAAATATCTGTGAGTCCTTACTGCTATGAATATGATTGATTGAGTAGATGAATAGATGAGGAAGAAGAGACAAACCTCCCGTGCAGAAGAATTCCAAATAATTGATGTAGACGCTCCACTCTCAGGAGGATGCCTCCCCGCTCCTGAGGCGTGAGCTGCGTAGTCACTTCCTTCTTCCCTCCAGAGTGTACACGATGGGAGGGGTTGATAAACAGACTAACTGCAGTGGAGAAACCTGACAGCATTACTTCAGCCAGGTAGTCGAGGTCAATGTCGGCAGTCATGAAGCATGTTGTGTATATCATTGATGTCCTGGGATGGAAATGGGACTCTCCCTCCCCAAACCCATAACCCTGGTCTAATCACGGGGAAAACATCAGGCAAACCTCAGTTGAGAGACATCCTACAAAATACCTGACCAGTCCTCCTAAAAACTGTCCTGGCCCTCCACAACAAGGGAGGTCTGAGAAGCTGCAAAGGCACACAGCTGGTAGACGAGGGACTTGGAGTGGATCCTGGGTCCACCACACACCACCAGCCTCTGATGTGACCTGTGAGAATCGGGAGAATGCTGAGCAGAGATGGCCAATTGTTATCCTTGCCACTGACCTGAATTTCTGTGATTGGTTGTTTTTCCTTTACTGTTTTAAGTCTGTAAGGTTCTGCCGTGATCTTAAATATCTCTTCATTTCTGTGTCTTGCCTTTGCTAGGAGCATATGCAGACACATCAAGCCGGTCCTTCTTTAAGCTCTCAGAAGCCGAGAGTGTTTAAATGTGACACTTGTGAAAAGGCATTTGCCAAACCCAGCCAGCTGGAGCGACACAGCCGCATCCACACAGGTAACGACACACAGCATGGTGCTGGTTTAGGGGCAAACAGCAAGTAAATGTTCATTTACGATATAATGCATTATTTATAAAGCAAAGTCCACATATTCAGTTTTCTCCTAATTTTTGATCAATTTATCACGCTAACTTTTTCAAGGAAAAGTTTTTGCTGTTTACACTGTGACCATAGAAAATAGAAGCCATCAGGCAAGAACTCCCTTGCCGTCCTGGAACCTGGACTGCATTGGCACCCTGCCCACCCCCCGTCCTCCAGGTCCCGTCTCCTCGTGCCTTGGAGGACTTCATTCCTTGTCTTTCTCTTATATCTTCAAACTTTTCTTTACTGGCTTTTCCTGTCACCACCTAAATCTACTCAAGTCTTGTGTCTTAGAGAAAAAAACAACAAAACAAAGAAAGAGACTCCCGTCTCTCTCTGCCTCTTGTGATGACCCACCTCAACCCTCTGTCCCACCCCACTGACACTCTTGCCAAGGTCTTACTGGCCTCTGCTGCTCACACACAAACTGGACATCATCCCTGACTCACTTCTGCACCGTCAGCCCATCTCCAGTCCCCAGTTCTGTGGATCCTGCAGGCTGCCTCTCCCTCAGAGCCTCCCTTTGCTCTCTGTTGCCATGGCCCTACTCTGCTTTGGCTGACAGTGTCCTCAGGACTACGGAATCGGCCTCCCACCTGGTCTGGTCTCCCCGCCGCTCCTCCAGCCCTGTGTTCACACAGCAGCCAGATTGAAACCCTAAGAGGCAAATATGCAGTCTCGTTTCCCTTCTGAGCACCTCACAGTGGAACCCTGCGACCTGTGAAGCCTTCATAATCCACATCCTTGTCCCTCCAGCACCCCGGCCGTGGGAAGTCTCAGGTTCTTGAATTCACCTTGCTGTCTGGTGCCCCGACACTTGCGAAGAGTGTTCTCTCTGGCTGGTTATTGTCTTCCCGGCCCTTCTCCCCCTTTGCCTGCCCATCTCTGACTGACCCTCAGGTGTCAGTGTGGTCACCCCTTCCCAAGAGGCCGCTGTACCTAGTGGTGCCCCAAGCCACACTCTGCATCGAGGTCCTTACCTGGCCCACGGGTTCGTGCCTTCTCAGTGATGTCCTTGTTTATCAGCACAGATTCCGGCGCCAACCAGGTGTTCAGCAAATAGCTTTTGCTTAAGAGAAAGAAACTACTAGTTGCCTTTTACAATAAAATAGATGCATCTGAAGGGTTTGGAGAGACCCACTTAACACATGTGTCTGTGTACTTGCTGGCTGGGGACTGCATCGTGGGCGCTCCATCTTCAAACCGCTTCAAAAAGCGCAAAGGCGCTTTTCCGGCTTCTTATCTCTCCAACTTCCCCATCTGCCTCCAGCCAGAGAACCCTCTGCTTTTAATGGGCGCATGTGATTAGAGTGGACCTGCCAGGATAACCGCCTTTTTGACTCACCCAGAATCATCTAACTAGTGACCTTAATTACCTCTGTGACAGTCCTCTTTTTCCATGTAGCAGAACATAATAGCAGGGGTGACATCCTCATATTCACAGTCCCAGGGATTAGGGCAGGAAATCTTGGGGGCCGTTTTTAGGACTCTGCCTCCCACAGGTGAGCTGTGGTGAGACCTCCTTTGTGGAGGCCACTGGACAGAAGGAGGAACAGACTTAGGCGTGGCATAGGTCTGGGAGGATGAAGAGCAGCCTTGCGGGGCCTCGTGCTGACACATGATCCAGGAGGGCCTCGTGGGAAAGGGACCAGATGCCTGACCAGGAGGCAGCCAAGCAGAGTGCATGGGCAAGAACCTTCTAGGCCAAGGGGAAAGGTTTGTGCCAGCCCTGGCACAGGAAAGGACTCAGCCCCTGGGAGCTTGGAAGTGGGTGAGTGTGCGGGGATGAGTGAGTGGCAGCAGGGGACACAGGACTGCCAGGCCCAGGGCGGGTGACGCAGAGGAGGGTGCTGAGTAGGGACGGCGCCAGATCCTGGAGGAGTGTTCATCTAGGCGGCTCCCAGCAGAAGTCAGACTTGGCAGCTTTTCCTTCCCTTTCTCGGTGTCTGTGTGAAAAGCTATTGAAGCTGTAAATACAGCTATTAAAAGCTGTATTGAAAGCTATTAAATAACATTGTAAAAAATATAGTATAAAATCATGCTTTTAATTAAATGGATTTGATATCCTTGTGTCCTTAATGTCTTTTTTGCTTTACTGCCCACGAGGTATTAGAAACATTTTGTTTAAACCATATGTGCTCTACTTTTATTTCTAGATGTTTCCAGGGCTTTTAATAGCTTTTGATTAAATAGTTTTATTTTGTGCCTCACCATGGAGTTGATTTGCTGGAATCCTGTGAATTAGCAATCTGAGTGATGTGGCAGAAAGAACATCATTATGATCTTTTTAGAACTTGCATAGCTTCTTCAGAATTATTTTTGTCTATACATGCTTGTCAAATGAGGTCTCCTAAGAGACACTGAGGTGTGACTGTCCTTTCCCTCAGGGGAGCGGCCGTTCCGTTGCAGTCTCTGTGAGAAGGCCTTCAATCAGAAGAGTGCTCTACAGGTGCACATGAAGAAGCACACCGGGGAGAGGCCCTACAAGTGCGACTACTGTGTCATGGGCTTCACCCAGAAGAGCAACATGAAGCTCCACATGAAGAGGGCCCATAGCTACACTGGTAAGGGACGCGCTGTCTGCCTGAGAAGCCGTGTTTGTAAGTGACCTGTGACAGACAGAGCTCTCTGTAGTGAGTGGTCAGTGCCCGGTGTCCCCGAGGGGTCCGTGCCGCGTCCTCTCCGCAGGGTTTCAGGAAGGCCGCTTTGCCTGCAGCGTGCAGTCCAAGGCTCTGTCTCAGTGTGCGTGTTGCCGAGCGCTGGGGTCAGAGTCAGGCCACATCTGCGCTGCGTGCCCTCTGTGTGCATCCTATGACTCAGAGCAGGCGCACCGATGGGCCTCCGTCCTCCTTGTGCACTGCTTGTCTCCCTCCTGATCATCTCTGTCTCCACACAGAATCTGGGAATGACACTGAATAGCCTAGACAAGGCTGCAGTGGACATAGTCGCTATACAGGGAGGGGGGAGCTAGAAATGTAGTGTGAATAGAGCTGTCATGTGTCTCTGACAGAATCAGCGAGTTTCAGAGGCACGTATCTCAGGTTCATGTTAGTGGTTTGGGATGGTGTGGTCCACGAGTGACGTTAGCCGGGCCCTCCATGGTGAGTGGTGTAGTGTGCAGCGGTGTATGGAGAACCACAGGGAATAGAACACTTCTTGTTGTGGGAGTTTTTGAGGAGGAGAACATTTATTCTCATGTCTACGCTCTAATGTCTACGCTTCCTACTTTACTTTCTGTTAGGAAAATCATGTATGTTGTTATTTTATTAATTATTAATCACTCATCACTGATACTTGTATTAATAAACCTTTATGGGAGTGAGCATACGAAACAAGTATATGTGTATTCATATTCAAATAAAGTGATTGTCACCACCGACAGAATTATTTAACCTGCAGCTCAAATTATTTTTTTCCACTGGGATGGAAAGCAAATCAATTTAGAAATTTCTTGTCTGTGTTTAAATTGTCTTTATTTAATGTGAATAATTGTGCTGAATGTCTGAGACTCTGCCTGTTGTTGCCTTGTCTACACTGCAGGAACTTTGCAGGAATCCGCTGGCCACCAGGAGCATGGCGGGGAGGAGCTGAGCCGGACCCTCCACCTGGAAGAAGTGGTGCAAGAGTCCGCGAGCGAGTGGCAGGCCCTGGCCAATGTGTTCTGACACAGCCTGACGTCTCTTAAGAGCGTTTCTGAAGTTAAATGTTGTGAAGAAAAAGCACTTGGAATTTCGGTTTTGAAGCTTCAAGTGTTAACAATGTTACCACAATAGTTTTTTAGCTATAAAATTATCTAAAGAATCATTGTCTTTCAGAGACTTAGAAAAAAACTGGGGAAAATGTAGACGCGTTGTTCTCATTTGTCTACAGGTCACTGAACTCAGGTACTACAATAGCAGTCTCACCTTCCATTCCGTGGCCAGTGTATCTAGTTAAAAAAGAAGTTAACTGGATCTTACTATCATTGTCGTGTGATTTCTTTGTATTAGCAAAGACAAAAGTTAACATGGAAAAAGTAAGATAGATTTTCCTCCGTGCTCTCTGTTATAAGAAGCATAGATTATAAAACACACATAAGATAGGTGCATGAAGTTCAGAAAAATTGTTAGAACACAGGGAAGTTTTTCCACTTTTTTCTCTGTGCATTTTGAAATTAGTAGAAGTTGACTCTTTTTAGTCCACCATAAGTTAATATAACTAATACCTTGAGAGATGGCTGGACCAATTCTCTCTCCATTACAAATGTCTAATCATTAGTTACAAGAATGCAGTGTCTGGGGCCTAAACATGGGGAGCAGAGTAAACCTGACATACAAATGAGGGTTACCTGTCTGCACGGGGGGACGCCACACGTCTCCCCAAATCGATGTTCAGGTACATGGGTTAGATTATTGCAGAAAGCACAAGCCATACATCGCCAACAGGAAATCACAGAATTGTTTCCTAGGAACCAAGTAAGCTTGGCCCTGTCTTCCTTGATAATTAAGAAATGCGTTTGTAGTTTGAGGATAAGAACCCATACAAGCCCCGGATTTCCTCTTCATGCATAAGCAGGTGTGTTTTTTATTTCAGGGAATTCTTTAGTGTCATCAATGGTGCCACATTGTACATGTCCCAAACCAAATCCCACCCCGTGCCGGGGCAGAGTGCACGGCGTTCCTACAGCATTCCAAAGACGGAAAGTTCTTTACTTCATGTGAATTTCTCCTTTGAAATTATTTATATGTTCTATATATAAATACATATGTACATATACAGATATATGGGCCTCTGTGTGGCTGAACAGTATATTTTGTAAATATAAGCACTAGTTCCAATTACAAAGAGAGCATCAAAGTTTTTACCTCCCTACGAGCACTTCAGATCAGTATTGTATTCATTTTATTAATAAATGGATATCTTTTTCATTGTAATATAAAGCTGGGGTGGTTTTTTGTTTTTCCTGAGAAATAATTGCCTTTATTTTCTCTCATTGTCTCCCTGGTTTCAGAAGAGAGCAGTTTTATTATAAATATTGTATGGACTTTGTATATTAAGAGAGGAGCTCATTTCAGATTCCTGACGAAAGAGACATTTCACTGTCATTTTTTGAAAGGGCATCTTTTGATTTTTTGTTGTTCACTTTTGGCATATGTATATAAGTAATACTGATGGTGATATAAAAGCTTTTGTTATGTGAAAATATTTAAGTCAGAAAGCTGTTAAATAATATTACCCTTTTTTTTCAAACTGCTTTGTGTATTGTATATTTTTTTAAGGGAAAAAAAGACTTATTTGACTTATTCTTGTGATGCTGGACTTATTATATACCCTGAGGTTTTCCTTGAATGTCAGTGTGTATACCTGGCTGTAGTCAGTATATTCAGAATAATTGTAATTGTGCCAGAGTTTTAAAAGTTCTGCTTTTAATGCACTTTCTTTTATAATTTTGTATTAAAATATTTTAGAAATGTTGATTAATTTTGGTGAACAAATATCCCCAAAATTGAAATTATTGGAATTTTTAAAATTTTGTTCTTGCTAGCTTATTTATTTTGGTTTTAGCATTAAATGTCATCTCAGGACAGTCTCTAAAAGGGGTTTGTTTAATTCCTAATTGTGCGGAAAGCTTAGTTCAGTGAACTGTATTGAACTGCCTGCTTAAGTCAGTCCTTACCGGGGGAATCTGAAGCCTGCTCTTATTTTAGTTAAAGAAAAGGAAAAAATCTATCAACAATCCATTTTGTGAGTTTTCCCAGTTTATTAGCAGGCAAACACAAGGCATTAATGCATTGTTTTGATTTCCTTCCCGATTGTAAAAGCTGCTGTTTTGCAAAACATTTCTTGAAAATACAAGGTTTTGTAAAGACATAATTTCACTTGAACCTTTGGTGGAGTACAGAGTGATCTTTATTTTTACTGGTTGATAAAAAGTCTTCTGACGAGATTTCTAGCTTCCTGCATAACCAGGGTTTTGAGGATTGATAACTGTATTTTTAGAAATATCTCAGCGTATCTGCTTTGGAAGAACAATAAAAAATGAAGTTAGGAAATGTGATTAATCTTTTTCTTTTTAAAATACTTAATATAAAATAGTTTGGTACTTGAATTAATTTCAAGTTCAGGTAATTTTTAACAGAAAAGAAGCGTAATGATATTTTCCTTTACCCCTGTGAAGTCCAGACAATGAAAGCTCACCCTTATAAGGTCTACTTGAAGAGCTTCACACCTTAAAAATCAGGATAAGGCTCAGTGACAGGCACGCCATCTGTATTAGTTACAAGTATCATTACTGTTCCCAGTTATTTTCATCATTGGCCATATTAAATAGTATCCTGGTCCTTTAGGTACCTTTTGAAAGTTCATAACTGTCTAAACCACTTTTGTGGTAAAGTAAATGTAAAGCAGCTAGAAAAGCTGAAAGGAAGAATTGCCTTGCCACAGATACTAAACTCAAAACTGCGTTTGTGTGATGCTGAGGGAGCAGGAGGAGTCTAGTTGTGCGTAGAATCCAACCCGTTAGGTCATGCAGAAGTGGTCCTATTTTCATAGATTCAATTAAAACATCTCTTCAAAAATGTGAACTCAAATGCCCCCATCCCCGAGCTCTCCTTTTGCCCCTGTTAAATACTTCGGTGCTTTGGCAGGTATTAAGTAGGGGCATCCCACAAGGAACGGAGGTGAGCCTGCTGCCTGTGAGTTCCGTAGGAAGCTCATCCAACTGTTCTCCATCCTCTGACGATGTGTTACTGATGGAACGTGAACAATCTGTCCTAATGAGTAACTGCCATTGTTCCGTCAAATTTCCGTTCCATCCGGTTTCAGCATTTAACTAGGGAATGTTTCTAGTACAGTATTTTGTACTCCCCTGCCCACTGTCATTTTTAAGGAAATGTGAACTTGAGCTTTGCAGTTAAACCTAGTGTTCTCTGACTTCATCTAAACTCTTCCATGTTGCTGATGTGCAAGAGGCGCATGCGTTAGTACAGGCACAGACCGTAGCAAGTGCAGTGGACTCCTGTTCTTCCACGGACTTTCCGTGCAGAAGAATATTCACAACTCATGAAGACACATTTTTAACAAATGATCAGCTTTATGTAACATCTTTTAAAGAAAATATGTAAGATATATAGATCTGCTTTCTGGTTATTATTTTTAGAGATATCTCATGCCTGTTTTTTGCATATTTTTTTCCAGAAGTTTATTTCAAGGACAATACTGTGCTCCCCCCACCAAAAAAAAGTTAATCCAGGAGTTGATCATTGCTAATTTATCCTTTTTCTACAATTTATTGTATAAAGTGAGGCAAGATGAAATTATAAAATTGATACTTCTGGATCTAGATTTCTTCTCTTTTTGCCACTTAATCTCTATTTATGTAATGTAGGTGTTTTGGAATTTTTAGAATTTCAAAAATGCTGACATACATGTTTGGGGCCTCTATATCTTTACCTTCTTCTAGTGAAAATTAGCATTTTAGAAATCAAGTTCTTCATTGTTTAAAAAGTAGGAGCAAACAGACTTTTTGGAAGGTTAGAAGCCCTGCATGTCCCTAGTAAAGACATTGTCTTGGTCTCAGTAAGGTTCCTACACCAAGTGTCACGTTTGGTCTTCGTTGTCCAGTCTGAGTTGATCCCCTTCTCAGTCACACTCATGCACAAATGAGCACACACTCACTCATTCCCTGTCACACCCACCCACATTTTACACAGAGGCACTGTGCCAGTTTTTTATGTGGATGACTAATAAGATATTGTAAAGAACTAAAAAATAAAGATTAAGTGGCAGGAGCAAAAGGCAGTAATCATAAAAGATTTTGCTATTTAATCTTTTTATGTTTAATGCTTTACAGCATGAAGACTTTGTATTAAATCAAGATTTGTAATCTGACAAATTCTAAAATGACATAATGATTCATTCTGGATTCACCACTAAAGAAAATTTTTAATTTTTTTTTTATTTACAGAAGAAACCTTTTTTTATCTTCAAAATTATTTCATGGTCTATTTATACATTGGATGATATTTACTTAATCCAATTTTGTATTAGAAATGGATAGTTATGCCAAAAGCCACTGTGCTGGCTTTAAGAATAATAAAAATAGTTTTTGTATTATTTTTAAACTCCTGTATATTTACTTATTTGGGTCTTGGGTGAGTTATACCCATTTAAAGATGGACATTTTCTCTAGGTACATTTTCAGCATGGGTTAACACAATACAACAGTGCTGAATTTGCAGTAAATTCAGATCTGTGGGGTTTGAATAGTGTGAGGGTGTCTAACTTTCTATGCTTGAGGATATTTTCCTCTTTCTCTCGTTTGTCGGGTGTTTGAGAGTGACTTGAAATGAAATGAAAATCAATTGTAATATCAGTTTATCCATTCACAAGACATGTGGGCTATTGGGCTTTCCTGGAAATAGCAATGGAGTTGGTTTATACTGCAGCATCTAATCCTTTTTAAAGATATGTTTCCAAACTTTTAGAAGTTCATAGTTTATAGAGTCATTATCCTGTTGAAATAACAAATTAAAGATATCTTTTTTCTTAGTTCAGCTTTTTCCTAGCACAGAGTAGGAACTCCATACATTTTTTGGACTAAAATAGCTAAAGCGATATTGATTTTTTTCCTGGACTTTGCTCAGAGGGAATGGTAAGAAATTGTTTTACCATTCTTGCTTATTTGTTTATAGGAGGAATATTGCTTTAATAGTTTTAAAAATATGGTGAGTGGAGGAAGGGGATTTTTTTAAATTATCAGGTTATGGAAAATTTGTTGCCTCTACTGTGGATTGCCTCAACTGTATAAAATGCTTCACCAGATGAGTTTTTCCAGAATGCTTGGCTCTCTTATGATGAAAGAGTGTTCTTATTTAAACACAATTAAAGGCGTGAGTTTACAGAGCATCTTGTGCACTGGCAAAGCCAAGAAGTAGGGTGACTTGGGACCTCAGGTCAGATTAGCCCTGGCACTGCCTGGCTGTCTGTCTGTAGGGCTCTCTGTTAACTTCTCTAGGCCTGTCCCTTTGTCTACAAAATTAGTTGATTAAATGTATTCCTTCCCAGCTCTACAACCTTCTACTTCTATTTTCAGTTAAGGAGCTATGATGTTTTCGGAAACTATTCTCTATAGATCTCTCATTTCTGCAAGTCTTACCAGCAAAGCACTGTCTGCCTTTGCTCCATGATCTTTTCAAGGCTGTTTGTATAGAACGCAGCCTTAGGAGATAGAGAGAGCTTCTTCCTCCAGAGCAAAGCAATGCTTGTTTACTCACCAGTATAATCAAGATATGTCTCACTCTGAGGCAAAGGTCAGGCCAGTTACAGTCTACTATAAAAGATTCAGGTTCCCTAAGCCCTGGACTCTCTCCTACAATACAACCCACTGTGCTTGCAGGCACCACCTGGCCCACTTTGGGTCACCCTGTGGGGACTGGGGCTTGGGTATCAACACAAATGCTGCTGCTCTGGCTCTTCCTACTGTGAGTAATAAACCCCTTTGTCTCTGACCCATGGGCCTCACGTCTTCTGCCAGCACCCTGGAAACCAGCAGGCCTTCCCATAAGCTGGCCAGTAGGGTAAAACCTCAGAGCCTTCGCGCTTGTGGACAATGTGTTGTCAATTCTTTCTGGAGGCCTTGAAATATCCCTGGCTCAGCTTACTATATGAATGGGAATTTTTTACAAACGTCAATGATGAATTTATTCCACACCATCCATAATGCTATTCCTATCACAGAGGAGCTTTTATTGTTACCTATACCTTTAAAGTATTAAATCTCTTTAGTCCCTAAGGAAAAAGTGAAAAACGGTAGCCTGTGTACCCACACACACTGCCTCACACTCTCCTTTCTACCAGTAAACAGATGTTTCCCTGATTTTATTATTCTGAGCCAACCAAGAGAGAGAGTTCTATGCCATTATTTTAGTATCAGAACAAGGTAATCATTGGTCACCCTGGTAACCAAGCCCTATGGGAAGAAATTCTTAATAATTAACACAAAAAAACTCATCTTGATATTATCTCAGCCAACTTTTTAGTAGTCCTAGGTAAAGATGGACAACAGCTGGCCATCTGCCCCAAGATACTGTTTACCATGTAATTTTTCTGGGTCCTCTTTATCTTTCTCAAATTTAATAATCCAAAGTCTTTATCCTTTTTGTGTAACCTTTTATTTTTGAAGCAGTTTCAAACACAACTTGCAAGAATAGTACAAAGAAGCCTTCACATACTCTTCATCAAAGACCCCATGCAAGTATTGCCAAAAGTGCGAATCATGACGTCTTTATGCAGACAGATCATAACGTCTTTATGCAGGACCACACATGGCACGCAGCTCTCATGTCCCTTGATCCTCTTCACACTAGAACAGCTCCCCTCTGCCTTGGCTCTCATTACCTTGACATTTCTGAAGACCACAGGCCAGTTATTCGGCATGTGGTCCCCCAATTTGTTCCTCCAGTGTTTCTTCCTGAGTGGGCCAGACCATGCATCTTTGGTCAGAACATCACAGAAGTGATGCTGTGTTCTTGTTGCGTCTTATCAAGATGACACACAATGTACATTTGTCCCATTATTGATGGTGTTAATGTTAACCTGTAATCATTTTACCCTCTGTAACCAATAAGTACTTGTGAGATACTTTGAAACCGTGCAATCCCGTTCCTCATTCCACTTGCACCTGCTAGTGTAGCATCCAGTTGTGACCCCTACCCGATGGTTCGATGGCTGCCAAGCGGTGATTCTCTAGTTGGATCATTTCTCCTACATTTATTAGTTGGCATTCTATGTTAAGGAAGAGCTTCCTTTTCTCCCTCCTTGATTTATTCTTGTATTTATATTGATTTCAGTTTGTGGATTCCTATTTTATTTACCAGGCTACAATGCATTAGGATCCTTATTTATTTTGATGCTCAAATAGTGCCAGTAGGGGTTTCTTCAAGGTAGCTTTTGAGTCCTTTTATATAGCCACATTATTCTTTGAACGCTTTCTTACTTTCTGGCCACAAGACATTGTTCTCTTTCCCTGGAATCAGCCATTTCTCCAAGGATCCCTGGTTCCCTTTAGTGGAGAGCAGATTTAGAAACCAAGAGCTGAGTGGTGGGTGTGCTCACCATCTAACAAGTGGATGGAGCTAGGAAAACCTGGGGGCATGTGTGCATGCAAGTGTGTGTGTGCTCACACATCCACGCCTGTATCTCTCCGTCACTATGTCTACACGTGGAACCACAGGTTCACACAGATGCTCCCAGTGCTGGCCAACACCACAGGTTTATTCCGGCTCTCCTCCTTCCTGCATGTGCCTCCCCTCCAACAGCGAGAGGCCTTGTCCTGCCACTCACAACATGTCTGCTGCCTTGCTCCATTCCTCTGTCTGTCTCCAGTCACCCGACCCCTCCTCATACAGTAGACCCTGGCCGTCATCGTTCTCCTCAAGGAGGGAAGCAAAGAGCTACCCATTTTAAAAGCCATGTTTTCTGACAGGCATTCTGGCATAGCCTTCTATTGCTCATTGCTCTGAGTTTGCTTGCCAAGTTATAGATAAAAGTGTCTCCAAAGAGACCAGGTTGATGCACAACAGTGCAGCAATGGTGTTACCTTAAGTGGTTTTGCCACAACTCGTGGTAAGGAAGGCAGGCAGGCTGCTGGCCTCTGGAGTCCAGTGGGAGTCTTCCATGTAGAAACGTACCCCCAGGGGACCTTCTTAGAAAGCAGATTCTGATCCAGGAGGTGTGGGCAGGACCTGAGACTCTGTTGGCTAACCAGCTCCACGGGATGCTGCTGCTGCCTGTCCACGGACACGCTGTGAGGAGCACGGACCCGGGCCCTGTGGATGTACGATGAGATATTCATGTCCTATCAGCACGGCGCACCTCTTCAGTGTCTCTCTCCCCCAGGTGGTCACCAACTCCTTGGTGACTCGTCTGCACTCTGTCACTTTGTCTACTCTCTCTTCCATATCTTCTCTCATTAATTCTAAATCAGAGGAGGGAACTGGGCTTAGAACAGAAAAGGCCCTGGATAGTGCAGGATAGAGCTGAAGGATTAGTTATTTCATGGATGCTCTTGGGTCCTGACCTATTAATGAATCCAGCAGTTTGCAAGATTTCGTAGCTAGATAGACACATATATTTCACAGTGGTGGAGAGTTGAGAAGAGACTACAAGAGGAGGGGCCTTCACCCTGCCTAGTCGAGACAAGTTTGACTTTGTCTGGGGGGCAAATGACAGTGCCGATCGAAATCAACATGTTTCTCAAAAATTAGATAATTGATTTGACTTCCAGTACAAATGCTGTCAAAGAAAGTTGTTGCAGCGTCTACACTGGAGTAAACCATGATGGATAACAAGTCACACAGCTTTTACTGAACTGAACTTGGCCAACTCTCCCTTAATATCACATTGCTTAGAATTTCAGTGACTATCCACTATTTATAATGGAGAAATCATAATAGAAAATGTACAAAATGCTTCACTTCGTATTACCTTTTTGGGAAAAGAGGGAACAGTACTCTACTACAAAGTCCTGGTATTTAATTATAACATCTTGCCAAATGGGGATTTAGGAAATATTTGTTGTTACATGAGAAAAATATGCACCTGGTATGGACTGAATTGTGTGCCTCCTCCCACAAACTCATATGTTGAAGCCTTAACTCCCAATGTGACTGTATTTGGAGGTGGGACTTTTAGGAGGTAATTATGGTTCAAATGAGGTCATAAGGGTGGGGTCTTAATCTGATAGGACTGGTGTGCTTGTAAGAAGAAGGGGCACCAGGAGTGGGTGCACACAGAGAAAAGACCATGTGAGGACACAGCGAGAAGGCGGCTGTCTGAAGCCAAGCAGAGGCCTCCCCAGAAACCAAGTGTGCCAGCACCTTCATCTTGGACTTCCACCCTCCAGAACTGTGAGGAAATACAATTTCTGTGCTTTAAGCTGCCCAGTCTGTGGTATTGTGTTAGGACAGCCCTGGCAGGCTAATATAGCACCAGAAATTACGAATGGCATAGCTCTCTCATTTTTAATTGCTACAAGAGAACTTTTCATTCACTGTTTTTCTCTGTCTCCAGTTCTTTCTCCTCACAAAATCCCGCTTCCAGTTTACAAAGCCATTCTTCCCTATAGCGCCTTATCTCCTGATCTAACATCCTCTCCACTAACCTCTGAACTGGCTGCTGACCTCAGCCCTCGATCCAGAGTTGCTTTCCTCTGTGCTGGCACCCCAATCTCCAAGCTGGCAGCCTTCTTTACCAACTCCACGTGCTCAGTCTGGATGGAATGGCACGTGGGCAGCCGTGCAGATTGACACGGTGTATTGGAAAGCACGCTCATTGTGGTTTTCTGTTCTGATGGGGAAACACCTTCCTTCAGTTACATAGACCCTCGTGACACCTCTAGGCTGCTAGCCATAGTCCTTAAGGTAAGCACGCTGCGATGGGGAGCATCCTTGCTCACGAGGCTGGGGTTCCAGCAGCCCCTTCTCTGGGAGCTCAGCCTGGTAAATCAATCGTCATTCGACTTCAGGGGGAAAGATGCAGAGCTCTCTAGATAAGCACTCAGTGAGAACACATGTCCCATGGTTCAGTTCCTGTTTTGTATTGTTTTATTTTAAAATATTTATCTGAATAGTGTATGATTAGGGTAAATGCTGTGTTACTCCAGGATCTATGCTTGGTTTACCATTTAATGCATTTTGTATATATGTAACATTAAAACAGACTTGCCAACTAAAAGAAGACAATTTTTAAAATGTGATTATCTTTGCATGATTTTCCAAATTCCTCAGTCCGAGGGGGTTTGAGGAGAGAAGTGAAGAGCAAGGGAGGGGTCGGCATCGGCTTGGGGTCTGTCAGCCCCCCTGGTGGAGCCTCGGGCTGCCTGTTGTTGAGATGGGTCAACAACACACTTGCGTCTGGGAGCCCGGGAGAAGTGGCTTATGCCGTTCTGCAACTGCCCCAGAGTGGGCTTCCCTTGCTACGTCTCACCAAGGCAGGCAGTTTCTCACACCTGCTATCGAGACAGAAGGGAACCAGTGGTTTTGTTAAAAGCAAAACAAATGATTTCAGTTTATCTTTTTGAAAGAGAATTCTTGTAACCAAAAACAACTATACACAAAATTTCCAGAGTCACTTGTTGTTGTCAATGTCTCTGCATGGCAGAAAGTAGTTTCTCAATGATCTTTAACGCTCAGTAACAGGGTGTTTACACTGGTAAGATAACAAAATGTAAATATATTTTAAAAGATTGTTTAAAGATTAATTCAAATTTCTCTTTCTTGTGAGAGTATACGTGCCCTGACAATGACCCCTGTTGCCCTTTCTCCTGTTAACGTGTAAATCATCTGAGGATCCTGCAGCTCCTCTGCGGGCGCTGACAGGTGGCCCTGTGCTGGGACGATACCGTCTGTGCTCACGTGAGCTCTGAGACATGATATTTGCTTTCTATGGGCTCACATTCTACAGACCAGAAGAAAAATAAAATAAGACACCCATGCAAATACCAGTAAAAGTTTATTATTTTATTTCAATATTCAAGAACAGTGTATACTTTCCACGAGACCCATCATCACAGCACTTGCTGTTTGGGGGTAGCCACGAATAGAGATCACTCAGTCAACAACCAGCTCGCAGGAGCAGAGTGCATGTGTCGAGGAACGTGGAGGGTTTGTTTCCGAAATTGTGTTTTTTTTTTTTTACCCTCTCATCATTGAGGCTAGATATTAATAGACATTATATGAAACCCACACTAAACATCCAGAATTAGGACGGGATTAAAGAGGTGCTTTGGGCCTTATGTTGACTATTCCTCGTCTTCGTTCTAAGGGAGGATGATACCAGTGTGGGGCTCTTTGGAAGGCCTGGGAGAGATCGGCTAAAATCAAAAGGCGGGAATCAGTAGGTTAGGAGGGGAGCACGGGAATGTCAGCTCATGTTAGGAGAGAGTGTGATTCTGAGGAGCTCTCTCCGTCCTCCTCGGGTGGTTGGCCAGGACCAGCCATATGCTAGGGTGGCCATTAGGGACAGGTACATTCCTAAGCCTAGTCACTAAGCATGTTCGCCTCTGGGAGGCAAGCAAGGGACGGTTATCTTTCCACTGAGGGTTAGTATTTGCTGATGTGCACTGCCGTGATGAGCCTACCACCGGTCACTTTCCCTTTCCACAGTGACCAGTGGGACACTACTGGGCTGCCCAGAAAACTCTCTAATCCTGCTCTGAGATGTGCGTCTCCCTGAACTCTCACTGGGGCTCTGCTTAGGAAACAGGTTGTTTGTAGAGGCCGCTCTGGTTCCACAGTGTCATCACCTAATTTCCAAGAAGATCCTGTTTCCCATTGGAGGCCGTCGCTCAGCCTGCCTTGCCCCCTTGTCCCCTCTCTGCCACGCACAAATTCAGCTAATCTGGGTGTGGTAGGCACCTGCCTGGAGGCGCCCCTCTCTGCACCCACCACATGGACTCCTCACAGCTGCCCGCCCGCCTTTCACGTACCAAACGCTCCCACGGGTGTGAAGCCACTCCTGACTGCCCAATCCTGTTAGGAAAATAAAGCGAACTTGAGGAGGTGAGAGAAGGGCGGGAAAAGAAACCAAAGGAAGCACGGATCAACACAGCCCTCACCACCCTGCACATGTCCCGTCTCCACGGCAGTGTGTCTCCACGGCAGTGCCCAAAAAGCCAGGGGATGCCAGGTCAGCAGCGCAAAGCAAGTCCAAAGATGGAGGGGTGAATGAACTTGGAGGGCTGGCCGTGCCCCTGGACGCACAAGCTCCTCGGTGTCCGGGCACGATGCAGTGGAATGAGACTCTGAGGACACTTGGTCTTCAAACATAAAGGAACGGTTTACCCATTTTCTATTTGCGTTGTCTCCATTTAGCCCTTGGCCAGAAATTGCCAGTAGGATGCAGTGTGCCTGACCCTACTGTGTGCACAACTCAAGAGGCATTAGGCGAGAGGTCATTTGCTACAACTAGGTAATCTATGCGAACGGTATTAAATTCTTAAAGGTTATATTAAGAAGCGGAGGATGGGATTCTGTAACAAGAAGGCAGGGCTTCAGCGTCTAGCCATGGGCGATCCAGAACGACTATCTCTTCCTCCCTGAGAAAAGGAAACAGAGAATTAGGTGAGCCTCATGGGCCATTCGCGCGAGCAGCTGTTGGCATCCCTCCCCCGCCAGGATCCCGTTTTTGCGGTGATCTGGTCACAAACGATTTGGGGCTCTCTTTCATTTGGGTGTGTTGCTAGAAATGCTGCCACAGAAAGCTGATCTTTTTGTTCCATTTCTCACAACATGCTTTAGCAAGTGCTGATTGGATTTTCAAGCACCATAATAAATTCAATTCCCAGGATACAGAGAGCTGGTGGCTAATATAACACTGCATTTCTGGGGGTGAAAAGCTCAGTTGCTGTATTATCATGCTTTGAATGAGCACTTCATTTCTTTGGCTAGAGATTCCAGGGTAACCGAGGGACATTGTCTGTCAGGGACGGGTACAACCTCATCTTTGGCGAGATCTCAGTGTTGACAAGCATGCTAATAGGTGTGTCCACCAGGAAGAAGCAACTGCACGACTCGATGGGGGGGTGGTCCTCTCTCCTTGTTCACCTCTCTGCTGTCTCATCAGGACAAATCAACCTCACGGTGGGGGAGGCGGGTGTCAGCAAACTGACTTCAAGGGGTTAGAACCAGGAACTGACATGTTTTCTGGACAAATACAATTTGAAATTTAAAAAAAAAGAGCTAGCGATCATTGAGCTGGACACAGTTGTGCAGTGGCCAGCAGTGCGAAGGTGGCCTGGGTGTGGGCACTGCTCTCTGAGAAGACAGTTTATCACTCCAGATGTCATTTAGACCGACACGGGAGAAATGCACTTTTTTTACATTCAAATTCTCTTTCTCCTTGAGTTTGCCTTTTTTATCTTAGGTCATGAATGAAAAATTGATCTCTCAAGGATTTCCTTTGGACTGTGAGCCCCCAGAAAGCAGGATGTATATGGAACCTGCTATTTGCCAGACAACAGATGCGCGCGGACCTAACTCTGGCCGAGGCTCGCTCTGCGTTTTCATTACACAGTAGCGTAACTAACCGAAGCACTCAAACCAAAAATGCCTTACAAGTAAGGCATCCAGAGTGAGCTGACAGATCTCATTTCTTAGAGTTTTACTTTTTCCAAAAAGACCTCTATGTTGTTGAACAACTCATTGAAGGAATTTTATTTTCCCAAGTGAAAACGTTTACGGAATTCTGGCCCTGAAATTACCTTAGGAATCATGACTGAAGCTTCCCTCCTGGGAAAGTGGCTTTCTCATATGACTGCAGGCAGCAGGGGCCGGAGCTCTGCCTCCGGGCCACCCCGATGCTGGGGAAGCCTAGTCTTTTCGTGTTGGAGCCTGGCTTAACTGATATAATGGGCCCTCAGAGCTGCCTCTGGAGTAGCCCAGAGTGAGGCAGCATTAGCCTCACCTTTTTCTGAATTTCCGAGAGATTAACCTTTAGGGCTGCCTTTAAAGTGTGATGTATTCCTGAAAAGTAGCAGAACCACTGCTCCATGAGACAAAGTACATTGTGCTGAAATGGATTAAGTTCCTGACATCCCTTGCGAGACAACTTAGGTGAGATACCATTTTAACTTCCCGATGGCTCCTTTTGAAATAAAAAATGGCAGAATGTTGGTTTTATTTTCTATTATTGTGCCTACAATTTACTGAGTAGCTATCGTGAGCAAAATCTGTTACATCTGTTTTCTCTTATGAAAGAGAAAGCCAACCCCGGAGGTAGGTATTACCGTCCACATTTTAAGTTGAGGAGCCTGAGCTCAGAGAGGTTGAGTAATTTTCCCAGAGTCAGTCAGCTGGTAAAAGGGAGGCAGAATTAGCACCTCTGATGCCTCTGTTTCACGGTTTTTACCACTTTTGAATCATCTGATAGAAAGCGTGGTCTGCCCTGGGCAGGTGAATCGATGAGCCTGGACTCACGAGAAGTCTGGACTGAACTTCTGTCTCAGGGCTGGGAAAGAACAGAATCTATAGCAAAGTCCTACGTTCTCTCTCCACTTTTACACCTCACAACCCTGCAGACACTACTACAAGTAGGAACGTGTGCCAGTTGACGTATTTGAAAATAAGAAACTCCTATTATATTTTGATGTAGCTCCCAAATGATTGGGAGAAATGCAGTTTTCTCTACTCGGTTTCTAACCAACAACACCAGAGTGCCAAATCTGAGCCCTTTCCTCGATTTTCAACAAGTGTACAAAGAGCAGGAAGAAAACACAGCTAAAATGACACGACCTTAAAAGCTATGAAATCCCCACCATCTCCACCCTCCTGCCTTCAAGCGCTTCTAATCTCTGGGGGACTTTCTGTAACCTATTGCAACTGCTCCATGTCAACTCATTTAGCCATATGACCACAGTAGGCCAGCTGGTGAACTTTTTATGTAATAAAATCTAATTCAAACCATGTTAAGGGAAATTTGTTTCAATTTGATAAATTGAAGCATCTCTTGAAATACATAGAAATTTTAAAATTTCTAAACTACTGCTTACCAAAAGAACTTCTGGAAAATGTTGGCCCTATTTAACACACAACTGGGTTTCACACACCTGTGGCCTTTGCACACAGTAGGTGTGCTTGATAGCAGTGGGGCTTCTCTAGTCATCCAGGCAGCCCTGACACGCTCCGGCCTCCTGGAATCTTACAGCAACTGGGTACAACTCTGCACACACTACCGAGGACTAGAACCACATTTCCTACCCGGAGCCCCCACATCAGCCGGCCCCTCCCATCACTCAGCAGTCGTCATTCATTCAGAGTGATGAGCGGTCAGAAAACTGGACAGCATAGTAATCAGTTACCCAGAACAGGATACATCTGTATTTCTCAGACAAGAGGAAATCACTACAACAGCAGATGTGGGCATTCCCTCCTGGGACAGGCTGGAGCAGGAAGACTTGGGGGGAACCCAGAAACAGTCTGGGCATCGCAAGCGATTCAGACGCAGATGACCTCCTGGCCAGGGTTTGGGGCCACTAGTGGAAACACTGCTATTCTGAATGCAGGTCTGGGTTAAGACCCAGGACTCCTCATCCTCACCGTCTTGTTGCCACATTTCAGAATGGAGGCAAATATGTCATGATGGTCTCTGTTACTTGAATGTCTGGGGTAGAATTTATTTCCTTACTCAAATTTGCCTAGAATTTATATTGATCCTGCCTATGTTTTACCTGATATGAAATGAGTTAGCGACTCGGTGACTTACCATTCACTTCACATATTTAAGGCTTTTCCTCATAGGACTGACTTTCCTCAAAAGCAGAGTCTCACTTCAAATCACCCATGTGTGGCCCCAGCACCTACCAGAATCTAGACTCGTGGGTGGGGATTCCACACACACACGTGCTTGCTGAGTCTGCCTGAGCCGTGTTTCCTGACCCCCAGACACACACACACGTGACTCAGCATTGAATTAAAGATTAGGTAACCAAATCAATGAGGATTTGGGTTACAGACCAAATTATTCCCCCATAAATTGTAAAATTTTGATGTTTCAATAAGCCAGGTATAAAGCAGACTCAGGTCAGAGCTCTCTCATCAGTGATGGCTGGTTGAGAGCCCTGTGCTTTGCTGGCAGAGACTGAGCCTTGTCACGGGGGACCTGGGGCTCGCAGGAGGCACGAGTCCTGCCTTCCACCTGTCAGATCCCATGGGTGATATAACCAACCCACGTACAACAGAACCTTTTAATGTTAAATTAAGTTGTCTACTGTGATCCCAATGGACATTCTGAGAATGGGTTGAATGAAGGAGACGCTCATGTCCTCATCAACAACCAAGAACCCCTAGAAGATGGAGTCCACGGACCCTCATGCCTCCCTCACATGTGACCGCTGGCCTGAAGACGCTATTACATGGCATAAGAACCCAGGGTGCATTTGTCTACAACGCCTGTACACCAGCCAACGAACCAGATGGAGCAGGACGCTCTGATGGTGTCTGGGAACTAAGCACAGACTAACGTCTCCTCTTATTTGCACCATCACGTCTTTCCCTTATCTGCAGCGAATATTCTACAGGAATACTAGTTTTTCACCCAAGAAAGATGAAAACAAAATCTTTCATGATTTGTTTCTCTCTCCACAGGGTGCTGGGGCATCGGGGCTTCATGCCTTTTATGATGACCTCTGTCCTAACAGACGAACCTGTCTTTTATTCACTGGCATCCGTCTTCCTTACCACGTTCCTTTAGGTGGGAAAGGAGCTGACTGGAGCACCGTGAATAGTTACAACTGTGGCTGTTGGTTGATCCCAGCTCTTGTGGCATCGGGCAGGGAGGTGGATGACCTTGCTTGGGTTAAGAGTGAGGAGAATGGCGGGTGGGTTGGTATTCTAATGAGAAAGTAGGTGGGGACATCCATTTAGACAACGTTTGTTCCATCACAGTCTGCCACCACCAACATCGGTTTTGTATTCAGGGATGAAACGCACTCTCCTCGAGCCTTAAATCAGCGTGGGACACCGCCTCCAACGCAACGGGGAAGGCACAGTGTGTCTCCTCCCGGAGGGATCACCCCAGCTCTGGCTTTCAGCCCTGAAACGTTGACGCATTGCTGGACCCTCAGCTCTGTTGCCAAATCCCTGGATGGGCGGCTAGAGAAATCCAGGCCTCTTCCTTATTACCCAGTCCAGGGGAATTCCCAGCCCAGTCCCCATTTTTGCTAGTCTCTGCCAGAGACACACGACAAGTCTGTCAACATTAAAACCTGAGTCACATTGTGTCACTCTCCCTGGAACCTGACGACGCCCCCATTCAGAATCAATGTCAGAGCCCTCAAGAGGGTCACAGGGCCCTCTGTGGGTGTGTGGGGGGCTCACCCTTCCCACCCTGTCTCCTCCTGGCCCCTGCTCATCACTCCGTGCCATTGGCCGTCCCCACCCCCCTCCTCCTGGAACCTGCCCAGGCCATTCCACTCTGTTCCTTCAGCCTGGAACACTGTCCCCGGGGGTGTGGCCAGCTTCTCACCTCCTTCCCGTCTTTGCCAAGCGCCACCTGCTCCGCCAGGCCTCCACTGGCCACCCTCCCAGGAGCCGTACCACCTCCTGGCACACAGAGGCTCCTGTCACTCTCGGCCCGTCTGCCTCTTCTGCTAGAGCATGTATTCTCTTCACTTCCTGTCACTCCCCACTAGAGTATAAGCTCCTTTAGGAGGCTGTGGGTCTCTGTGTTGGGGGCATCCCCAGCACCTGAAGCAGCACACAGCAGCTGGTGAGCTCCGGCCAGTGGCCAAGCAGAACTGCAGCATCGCAGGCGGTGGGCGCCCGGCCAGCCTGGACTCGGCCCCGTGCTGGGGGACCACGCGAGGCCAGCTTGCCCCTCACCCACGGGGAGTAAGCCTGTCACTGTGTCCTCCTGAGGAAGCTGCCAATGCAGACGGCCGCCACCAGCAAGCTGCTCCCTTCCCAAGGCTCTCAGGCAGTTGGAGCCTGTTTACAACGATGTGCCTCAGGCCCCGGAGCTGCCAGCGAGCCCAGGACACTACTGTGACCTCCGCAGGTCAGGTCATGCAGGGTCTGGGGGTGAACAGAGGCCACACGGGCTTCTGAGAGTTGAGTGAGAGTTAGGTTATGGCCTGGAAGGGACGGAAGTGGGTGCTCTGCTGGCATGTGGGGGAGACTTGCACCACTGAGACCCCTCGGTGTCCAGGGAGGGAGGTGGGAGCCCGGAGCACAGCGCCTGCCCTGCTGCTGCCCCACCCCATCTCCTTGGTCTGTTCTGGTGCCCGGGCCCTGCCCGACATGGGGTCCAGGTCTCCTCGCTGCCAGAGGAAGGCAGGGTCACCGGCCAAGCACACAGGCGTCCTGGCTCCAGGCACCCTCTGTCTCTGGGGTCAGATCTCCTTACAGGTAAACTTGGGGCTGGCTCAGAGTAAACCCTGGAGGGTGGGTGCCCACCCACCTCTCCCATGTTTCTCCCCCTTCTCCCCGTGAGAGACCCGCACCCTCGTGGCTCCCTGGTGGGCTGGTCACTGCCTGTCCTCTCTGAGATCAAGAGTGATGGCAAGCAGCCCCAGGGAGGCCCGGGCATGAGCAAGGGCGCACTGCCGGCTCCCTGCTCGCCCAGACTCTCTGTCCTCACCCCTCCTTCAGCTCGCGCTGGGGATCCGGCGCTGCTGCCTCCACTGGTGGGAGGGGACGTTCTGAGATGTCGGGGTTTCTGAGTGAGGCGGTGACTCTTATCAGCAGTAACACGCCTGCCCGTTCTGTGAGTGCCCTGCGGGCACCGTGCTGACCACACCGTGGTCACCTCCTTCACCTTCACAGCGTGTTTGTCCATACGTCACCTCTGCTCACAGAGGCGGAAATCCAGGCTCAGAGGGCTCCCGGGGCCAGGTCGCACGGCCAACACATAGTGGACCTGGTCCCTGTGACCCCAGCGTCACAACTGACAGGACTGACCGCCTGTGGTTTCCTGGGGTCTCTCGCCTGGTACAACTATGGCCCTCTTGTCACCTCGGTTCCCGCTTGTTTCCTCGGGGGGCATGATGCTGCAGCCTCAGCCCTGGGAAGCCACCTGACCTCCCAGAAGAAGCCAGCGCCCCACAGCCGCTCCCGCCCCCCCAGGACACAGCTGTGGCCTGGTGTCCCCGCACTTGTCCTCAAGCCCCCGAGGAGCCTGGCCCCAGCACAGTGCCCACGGGAAATGCTTGCTGAACTCACACACGTGTGAAATGAACTCCTGAGAAAAGCAGTGTGAGAGGCTGGAAGGCCCCTGGCCACCTCCTCGCACATCCCCTGACGGCACGGCGGTTTACTTTACCAGTTTGAAGATTCTGGAAAGTGTGCCCTGGGCGTCGTGGACCCCCTTGAGTCCCTTGTGAGTCGATTTGTAGTCAGAAGCTCTGCCTCCGTAGCCAAATCCCGGCTTCTGCCCCTCGGCTCCCTGCAAGAGACCACAGAGCCCTCAGCCCCTCCCTGCGGCCGCCCGGAGCGCCCCAGGCTCCCGGGAAGGGCCCACCACCCCAAGTGGCCGCGGGGAGACCGGGGCCCAGCGCGCCTGCCCCCAGCCATCCGTGTGCCGCGGCCTCGGCCGAGCCTCCCCTACGAGCCCGGTGCCCAAGTGCTCTGAGGTTAAAGATCAAAACCTCCTCTACAGAGCTGCGTCCCGTCTTCAGGCTGGGTGGTTTTCAAGAGAAGATTAGCAGACATCAAGAAAGACAAGGAAGAGGACCTTTGCCACACGTGTCTGGAGGAGGGGGCACCAGAGGTGGCCATTTCCCCAAGAGGGAGGAGCCTAGAGGAGGACGAAGCCCATGTCCCGGGGATTCTTTCTCATCTGCTCTGCTCTCCAGACTTCCGGGAGGGTCAGGAGCCTTTGGACTTAGTGAAACTTCGAGGCTCACAGCTTCCCAAAGCATAAAGATGACATTCTACATTTCCAGCCTAGCGGAGCCTCTCCCGAGGGTGAGCAGGAACCAGCTCCTCTGGCCATGGTGTGGGTGCCCTGAGCGTGAATGTGCAGAACTGGGGGACCAGGGTTTTTCCCAGGGGCCCTGGCTCCTGAGCTGGTCACCACAGAGGGAAGGAGGTAGGTCGGGCTGGCAAGCCATGTCCTTGCCACTGTGCACTAGGGCACAGCCCCTGGCAGCCCGGATGGGTCTCAGCTCCCACACTCCCTAGCTGTGTGACCTTGGGTAAGTGTCGGAACCTCTCTGAGCTTCAGTTTCCTCTTCTGTAAAATGGGAATAATAACGGTCCCTTCCTCATGGGGTTGTTGTGAAGACATCACGAGTGAATGGAGGCACCGCTCTGAGAATGGAGGCTGGAAGCCCTGATCTTGCAAGCTGGCTGTCATTACAGGAGGTGGCCGTCTGGGCAGGCAGAACAGGCGGCCCCTATTCCAGCCTCCAACTGCCCCAGCAGCCCTCTCTCACTTCAGGGAAGATGAAGACAGCTTCCTTGGTGGGAGGTAGTAATGGCAAATGAGTTTTGAAATACAAGAATATTTGTGTCCCTTGGACCAGTTTATTTTCTAATATGCTTTTGTTTCAAATGGGAACTTTCGCTGTAAAGATGAGAAAGGAATGGGAGAAACACTGGGTGTTTAGACACGATGAGTGTTAACATTCAGGTAAAGGGTCTTCCAGCCTTAGGGGCAACCTCAGTTGGAGGGCAAACCAGGCTGCTCAGCATCTCGGCCTGGGATCTGTTTGCCCCACAGGTCTCCATTCAAAGGACAGGGTCTGAGATGTTGCTTTATATTTTGCCACCAAGCGATGGGAGGCCATCTCCTGATCGAGCCCCCAGACCCCTTTCCATCAGCCTACAGTCCTTTTAAATTTCATGACAGTGTTTTAGGATGGAGGGAACTTGGGAAACCATCGAATCCACCCTTTATTTTAGGGATGTTGAAGATGGGATCTAGAAGGTTCAAGGTTCTCGTTTTGGGCAGGACTGAAGCTGGACCGGGGCCATCTGTCCAGGCACCCCCACCACACAGGCTACTTCTATGGTTCCCTTCTCCCTCAGCCTGGGCTTGGGGACAGACATTGGTCACTCTGCACCAAGGAGGCTACTTTCACATGAAGATTGGTTTCAAGGATTATCAAGTGGCCCAAGGGCTGGGGTGTGTGGCAGAGAAGGTCTGAGACAGCATTTGAGAGGAACGCCAGTCCTGCCCCTGAATCCTGGGGGTTTCCACGGACATGCTCTCTCCACGGGCACACAGAGGGACGGTGACAGTTAAAGAGTGCTGCGCCAAAGGACAGACGCACATGAATGTGAAAAACCACACCTCCCCATGCGGATCTGCACCATCCTGTCTCACTTTCTTGTTTCTCCCCCAAAGTAAAGAGCTTCTGAGAACTAAACTCAAGGATTGGTTTTCAGATTAATAATCTGCTTGATTTTTCCTCTTTTCAAAATCTTGGTCACTTATATCTTTGGACCACCTAGAATTTATCAGAAAACATACAACAATAGTTTAGAAAGAGAAGGTTAGGACTTTCAGTAACTCCAAACAGGAAGACAGTCCTGGAGCTCTAGAAAACAGACAAACACACAAACGGAATCAGGAAGGGCTTTGCTTCGGAAAAAAGAGAAATTTAACAAACGTTAGTAGGACCAGAAACGGAGAAGTGGAGAGGAGGGCAAAGGTCTTTCCTGTGAGCTGCCGGGTGGAAGAGGCCTCTGTGGGACTGGAAGAAAGAAGGTCTCTTTAGCCCCCCGTCACTCTACATGTGGGGACGACTTTGCATGATGGCTTAGCCCACGCTAGAAAGCTGAGAGGCAGGCCAAGCGGTTACTAAAATAAGATTTCTGGATCAGACATGGATTTCATTCTTCAATATCATCTTCGTCTCCTGCTGGCACAGAAAGTCAAAAGTTAATTGGCTGTGGGTCATGGCCCACGGAGATTTCCTATATTATGGTCACCTCTTTGCAGATTCATTAGGTCGGAAAAAGGCTCAACTGTGTTTACATAAAATGTTCCGGCAAATACATCAGTTCATAAGTCAGTGTAACAAGTGTTGGAGCAATTCAGGAGCTTGATGGGATTTTAACTCTATCTTTTACCTGAGGGCCTCTTCCCCGCCCCGCCCGTCCTCCTTTTCCTCCTTCCTTCCTGCTTTCTCTCCCTCCCTTTCTGTTTTTGCTTCCTGTTCTTTTTTCTTTCTTTTCTCTTTCTTCCTTTCTTTTAAAATTCATTATTTCATGTATATGATGTTTATTAATTGAGCATTGTACTAGAGAATAAAGATATTGTGTTCCCAAGACAGACTCAATTCCCGGCCTATAGATTAGGGTTATCCTTCCATTTTATTCTGAAAATTATAATTTTTTTAAAGTAAGAACCGTATCTAGTATTTATTAGTAACTATGGTCTATAAGTTTGGTTAGAATATACTGGTAGGCATTTTAAGTTGGTTCAGACACCAAATTTCTCTAATACCTAGAAAGTGAACAAATTGCTCACTTGAAATCATCGTTGAAACTGTGTTCTCAGTATTAAAAAGCCTAAAATTCCTAAGAAGGCTTTCCTGGATGGCTTGATATCTTAGCTTTGGTTATGACTGAAACACGATCAAAACCAAAATCTTTTGGGTTAATTAGGTGATTGTGACCTGAATAACTGAATTTAGCATCTTTTTCTCTCTTTAGCAGCGTCATTTTTCCTCAACAAAATTTCAGCGTCTGTGGGAAGAGCTGGTTAAGAGATGGGTCAGTGGGCCGCAGATCCACGTTCAGGCTGCTGGGACTTGCTTTTCTCATCCGTTGTGTTGGAAGGAAACCAGGAATTTTCTCAAACACAGAAGGAGCCCACTGGAATTCCAGGAACCCTTCGGGAGGAGTGGCATTTGGTCTGGCGGTGCCTGCCCCGGGCATGGAAGCCAGGCAGAGAGCTAGGCTGTGTGTGGGGGGGTGTGTGTTGGGGGGTCATTTTCCCTCCGGAGGAGAAAGCAACCCCCGGACAGCTGCGGGCAAGCTGGGCTTGAGAGGAGAGAGAGGTGGGACCGGTAAGCAACTGAAACAGAGCAGAACATAAACGGCGAGTGGCGGTGAGGACCACACAGGAGAGGGAGCTGAAGGCACATGCGTTTGTCACCTACCCAGCTAAATCTGCTGAGGGACAGTCCTCGCCCCTGTGTGAGGAAGACAAAGAAATGACATTGTGATCAGTGCAGGAAAAAAGTTCTTTTAATAAACAAGAAATACAAAACAATATGGTGCTGAGATGGCAAATAGGTTTCATCACACAGGTGCCATATCCAGGGGGTTGGCAGTGGCTGCCTGGAGCTTCCCGGGGAGAATTTAGATCAGTAATTAGAGGGAGGGAGCTGGGAGCCATGGGCACCGTCTGCACGGCAGGAGGAGGAGGGAACACCGTGCATTTCCCAGCCTGTTCTACTCGGGATCCATGTGGCAAACATTCTGGGACAAAGTCAGGTAGCTACGAGTCCAACCCTCTTTTTGGTACATTTAGGGATTTCAGGAAAGTTCTGAATGAAGTGATGATTGATCAAAACATTCAGAAGTCTTACCTTTCCTTGCGATGGAGGAGGTGTGCGAGGTGTCACCTGCAAAGACACACAGAGACTGTGACGGGGGGGCCTCCTGCCTTCAGAGCAGCCTGACCCTCTTCCTGAGTCTGGTGTTGTCAGCTTCTAGGTCCTGACCAGCTCCTGTTTGCTGAGAGGGTCTAGGATCTATCAGGATTAGATATTAAGATCTACTATCTGTTAGGTCTAGTATCTCCCCAGTTTCCCCATTTCTGTCCTAGTTGAGTGAAAAATACAGCATTTGAGAATTGGAAAATACCCAATGCTACGCAGACCTTCAGGAACATTCAGACAGTGTTTAAGAGAATGGGAAACGCACCAAAAGGCTCTACAACTAGAGAGTTGATTCTTCCTGGCGTGTGTCCCTGTGACACAGCCATTGCACACTGATGGAGACCATGAACTTCTCTTCACCACCATCCTCTTTCAGGGTTGGAAGTAAAGCGTCCCCTGATGTTCAGAGCTTCAGAAGGAACGCCCTCAAGCCTGAGGCTCCTAAAACTCATCCACCTGTAAACTACCATCTTGAAATGTCTGCAGCACAGAAAGTTTATAATTAGAAGGCTGTGGTTTTGCTTTTGCTTTTAAGACTATTTTTTAGAGCAGTTTTAGGTTTCTAGAAAAAATGCACAGAAATTACAGAGAGTTCCCCTATACTCTCTCTGGTCTTGCACACGGTTCTCCTCTTGTTACCACCTGGCATCAGTGTGGTCCATTTGTTACAACTGGTGAACCAATGTTGATACATCATTATTAGCTGAAGTCCATAGCTGACAGTAGGTTTCACTCTCTGTGATGTACATTCTATGGTTTTGACAAATGTATGACGTGTATCCACTGTCACAGTATCACTCAGAGGGGTTTCATTGCCCTAAAAATGCCCCGTGCTCCCCCTACTCACCCCTCCCTTCCCCGAACCCCTGGCAACCACTGATCTTTTCACCGTCTCCACAGTTGTGCAAAGCCTGTGTTTCTAAACTAAGGGTCTCATAATGGTTTAGTCTCCAAAGGAGTGAGTTCTCTGATGGAACACGAAGTTCAGTAAGTGGCACGTGCAGTTTGGACTTTGGGATCAGGTGCTGGGCTGAGCTCAGAGCCCAACGCCACCCTGAGGAGGAGGGAGGCGTCGTCTGGGCACACGGTCACGCGCCTCGTGAATCAGAGCTCAGTGTTGTCTGGGGAGGTACTCGTGCCCTTCACAGACTGCAACAGTGGCCAAGCGCCCCACCCCACAACCTCTGATTCTCCCTCAGCCCCCTGCCCACGGCCGGAAGGGAGCACTTACAATGTTCTTGAAGAAGTGCACTACGGGGTTCTCGTCTTGGGGCCGGCCGTCCCGAGACTTCTGGGGCAGGGAGCCGTAGTGGGTGGTTCTTGCTGCGTGATGTCCATCCTGAAAGACAGGGGCACAGCAACCTCAGGACAGGTCCCTACCCTCTGCTCTGTCCTCCTCGGGAGGCCGCCTCTTCTCTCCGCTGTGGATCTGGGTCCATTCTGAATCAGGACCTCATGCTAGGAGGTTGCTGAGGCCCCACAAGACACTCCTGAGACAGGAGGGGGCTCAGAGCAGGATGTCTGCACGGTGCCGGGGAGGTATTTCCATCACTGAGTCAGTGTACCCCCAGCGCCCGAAATCACAGAAGTGTGGTGGAGGGGAAGTGAAGGTGATTTATGGGTGATTCCAGCCAAGATCTGGGCGGGGCAAGCACAGCATTGAGAGAAAGATATCCTTTCCCCCAAGCTTCTGGTTCTGATAAAGGAAAAGACTCCGGAATTACACACAAAACAACCATAGTTACAGAATTCAAGCCCGTTCATTGGCTTTGCGGTGGTTGCATAACGTGAACTAGCCTGTTTCTCAAAGTCCATGTCTCAGGTCACAGTGGCACTGGAGTCTGCCCAGCGTGGTACCACCCCTTCCACATCTTGAGTAAAGAGGTTAGGACTGCTGGCTGTGAGTGCCTGGGGCTGTTCGTAATCAACGGAACCAGAACTTTCTAGGTCAGTAAGGGTTGCCTGGAAGTCACCAAATGGTGAGTGCTGATGGAGAGCAAGGGGCAGCAAGGGAATCTCTGTCCTTGCAGCCCCCACCTGTCCCTCTTTGGCTGACCATTGACTGTGGATGCCCACCAGCAGGAGACATGCACAATGCAAGGAAGGCCAACCACACGGGGAGGGCCACATCCACCACTTTCCGTGGAGAAGGGGATCCATCTGCAGGAGCTCTTAATGAGAGCCTTCCAAGCAAGACAGCTCTCAGAAGAGCAGAGGGAAGCCCCTCTGGGGGAGCTGGTTGAGGAACTGACTTTGTGTCTTTCCCTGCTCTCTCTCTGCTGTTCCCACCACCCACTCGGTCATGAATATGGTGAAGGATGTGAGTGAACTAACGCAGGGAAGCTTTCGAAGTCCGGAGGAGGGTCTCACGGGCAGCCTGGCATTGCAGCGGCTAACGGGAATTCTGTTAGCAATCAGTTAAATGTGCTGACATGGTGTGAAGCACTTCCCTCCGTTGTCAGCTTTGGGCCCATTGTTTGGGGGGACCCCGTCTCGTTCGGAGGACACTTTTGCCACCAAAAAGTCTAAAATGTGCTTCTCCAGAATTTAAAGCATTTAATGGGCATAATTTAGTGGGTGACTGGGTTATTGTTAATATTTATGACACTCCCCCGCTGTCTGTCCTCCTACCTCAAACCAGCAGGCCTGAGACCCCCCCGTCACCCCCGACTTTCCTCTGCTCTACTTCCCCTGTTCACTCAGCTAACAAGTTGTGTAGGTCTTCTTTATACTACTCCTTGCATTCCTTCCCCTCCCCCACTACTGACATTAAAACAAAAGCTGGGTCATCTGCCTCACTGATTCTTCCCTCTCCAGCCCAGACACCCTTCTCCTTCCCCTCGACAACCACTCCCTCTTCTGCGAGATCCGCTGCCTCCTGAGCATCCAGGTTTTCTCCTCTTCCTGAGACCTGATCTCGGCCTTGAGTGGACCAGCCACCTCCCTCTCCTTTGAACAAGGTGTCACGCGTGCCCTTGTCTCCTGCTTCCCTGTGACTTTTGTGCCCTGCTCAACCTTCAAGTCCAAGGTCCTCCTTCTCTGGTCCTGACTAGAGCCAAGGCTTCCTGACTTCCCTGCAGTCCTCTCTGCCCCTCCCAGCCATTCTCCACGCTGCGGTCAGAGGAAGGCTTCTGAAGCACAGATCAGGGCGGGTGTCCCCGCCCCTTCTTAATGACCGTCCAGTGGCCCCCCAGTGCCCGCCCATGGAGAGCACTTCTGAACAGGTGCCCTCGTGCTGCCTTCAGCCTCTATCCAGAGCCTGATGCCCTCCCCCCACACTCACCCCGCCACCCTCTATGCTGGGCGTCTGCCCCCCTCCCTCGACCGTGCCTGGTACAAGGCTCTCGATGGTTTCGCTGTCCCAGGCCTTTGTACAGGGCTTCCTGCAATGCCCTCCCTTGCCCTCTGGCTTAGCCCCTCTTCAAGGCATCCCCTGTGCATAGCTTTCTCCAGCTGGCCTGGGCAGGCTCGGGACAGTGTTCTGTTTTCTGCCTGCTCATTCAGAAGCTCCCTCACAGTGTGGAGCATGGATGGTATGACTATGTGTTGTGCGTCCCTCGTCTCCACTGCGTTGGAGCATCTCAGGACTCTAATTCCCCGCTCACAGAGGGGCACGAGGAGTTGAACTATGCTGTGGGCGTGAGAGTGCGGGCAGAAGCAGATGCATCTGAACTGGAAGATGTCAGCGGCAGGGGAACGAGCTGGAGAGATTCACTGACTGTTGAGACTCCTGATCCTTCGTATTCTTATTCTCTCTGCTGATGTTGCAGGAACCTAAGTCAGCTGGCTCTCCTCCTATTATCTTGTCTTTCACCTATACCTTTCTGCATTCACTGACCAATTAGATTCAGTCACCGAGAGCCAACCTTATACATTTTTCTTCTCCAATGGAAGAGTGAGTGTAAAACTAAGAAGTGAAAAACAGAACAGATGAGCCAGGAAACTGTTCAAATTGCTTACTTTAAGACATATATCTTTAGGTGTCTAATAGGTCTACCAGGTGAAGTTATTTGTCAGATAACAGCCTAGTGGCCTGAAATAATTAAAACAGCTCAAAATTTAGTACAACTTCCTCTTCCCTTGGTGTTTGACACCATGTTTCTGCTGTGGGTTGTTGGATTTGAGTCATAGAAACATCACGCACGTTTAACTCACCCATCCTGTAATTAAACTAGAAAAATGTCTTAAACTTTACATAGACGTTTTAAAAGAAATGAACATTCAGTCATTTCATGCAGATCTCATATTGTTAAAACTTATTCATGTTGTGAGATAGTTAATGAAATATTATGTAGATAATGTTTCACATGTGAATTATGCATACCTGCTTTAAACGCTAAAGAAAAATTATATATGTTTGTGATTTTTATAATGAATATATTGGTCACTAATCTTTTGAGAGAAAAGTAATTTAAATCTTTTAAGGAACACTTAACTTGGTAAGTTGCATTTTAGCTCGTGGCGCTAAGGGGTCAGAACTGTTCATGAGCAAGGCAGTGGGTGCAGTTACGGCCCTCAGCACAGAACCAGGCAGGCATTAAGCGGTAACTGTTGCTGAATTAACGTGGAGACTGTTTAGATCACTTTTAAGACAGAACCTAACCTAACACACACAGAATAGATCTTCAGTAAATAGAGCAATTACCACAGAATCACACAATTCTTTTGTTACATGTGCATTGGAGAGAGACTGAACCAGGATTTAGACTTTTGGGTCTAAATCGTCAGTTGCACAGATAATTCGATGTGGTCACAGAGTTATGATTGTATTGTTATATTATAGTTGTAATAGTCTGTTACTAAAACGGCATTTAGTCAATCATATTTCTATATACTAGAAATGAACAGTTAAAAAAACCCCAATTTGGCCGGCCCGGTGGCGCAAGCGGTTAAGTGCGCGCTCTCTGCTGCGGCGGCCCGGGGTTCGCTGGTTCGGATCCCGGGCGCGCACCGACGCACTGCTTGGCAAGCCATGCTGTGGCGGCATCCCATATAAAGTGGAGGAAGATGGGCACAGATGTTAGCCCAGGGCCGTCTTCCTCAGCAAAAAAAGAGGAGGATTGGCGGATGTTAGCACAGGGCTGATCTCCTCACAAAAAAAAAAAAAAAACAAAAAAACCCCAATTTAAAAACACCACCAATACAACAGCATCAAAGAAACAAAATATTAGGTCTAAATCTAATAAAACATGTATAGGAAATTTATGCTAAAAATTAGAAATTGCTGGTAGAAGAAATCAAAGACGACTTAAATAATGGAGAGAGAGACTGCATTCACGATGGAAGACTCAATATGGTGAAGATGTCAATTGTCCCCAAATTGATCTACAGAGTTAATGCACTTCTGATCAAAATCCCTGCAGAGTTTTGTTTAGATATAGACAAAGTGATTCTAAAACTATATGGAAATGCAAAAGAACCAAAATAGCTAAACAACTGTGGAAAAGAAGAATAAAGTTAGAGAAGTCACATCACTTGATTTTAAGGTTCCTGTATTGCTATGGTAATCCAGGCAGTGTGGTGTTAGCGAAGCGGCAGACCCACAGATCAATGGAACACATAGGGTCCAGAAACAGACCCACTCAAACAGGATCAACTGATTTTTGACAAAGGTGCAAAGACAATTCAATGGAGAAAGGATAGTCTTTTCAACAAATGGTATTACAACTACTGGACATCCATATCCAAAAAAATGAACCTCAACCCAAAGTCACACCTTATACAAAAATCAACTCAAAATGGTTCATAGATCTCTATCTACAAGGTAAAACTAAGAAATTTTAGAAGAAAACATAGGAGAAAATCTTCACAACTTGGGGGTAAGCAACAAGTTCATAGACCTGACACCAAAAGCATGATCCATACAGAAAAAATGGATACATTGGACTCGATCAATACCTAAAACTTTTGTTTTGCAAAAGACACTGTTAAGAGAATTAAAAGACAAGCTAGACCAAGAAGATATTTGCAAATCACATATGTGACAAAGGACTTGAAACTAGAATATATAAAGAACTCTCAAAACTCAATGGTAAAGAAACAAACAACCTAGTTAAAAAATGGACAAAACACTGAATAAACACTTCATCAAAGAGGATGAGCAGAAGGCAAATAAGCACGTGGGAAGATGCTGAGCATCATCAGCCATGAAGAAGATGCCAATTAAAACCACAAGGAGCTACCCCTACACACCTTTCAGAATGGCTAAAATAGAAAATACTGACAATACTAAGTGCCGGCTAGGATGTGACACAACTGGAACTCTCATGCATTGCTGGTAGGAATGCAAAACGGTACAGTCACTCTGTAAAACAACTTGGCAGTTTCTTATAAAGTTAA